AAATGAATTAATTATTTGAGACCTTGACGGGCGTCCAGGTTGGTGAATTTTGCACGTAGGAGGCAATAACAACCAGTGCATAAAATTTTCATCCGACATTAGGGGAAAAATGAATTAATTATTTGAGACCTTGACGGGCGTCCAGGTTGGTGAATTTTGCACGTAGGAGGCAATAACAACCAGTGCATAAAATTTTCATCCGGCATTAGGGGAAAAATTAGTTAATTATTTCAGACCTTGACGGGCGTCCAGGCTGGTGAATTTTGCACGTAGGAGGCAATAACAACCAGTGCATAAAATTTTCATCCGACATTAGGGGAAAAATTAATTAATTATTTCAGACCTTGACGGGCGTCCAGGTTGGTGAATTTTGCACGTAGGAGGCAATAACAACCAGTGCATAAAATTTTCATCCGACATTAGGGGAAAAATTAGTTAATTATTTCAGACCTTGACGGGCGTCCAGGCTGGTGAATTTTGCACGTAGGAGGCAATAACAACCAGTGCATAAAATTTTCATCCGACATTAGGGGAAAAATGAATTAATTATTTGAGACCTTGACGGGCGTCCAGGTTGGTGAATTTTGCACGTAGGAGGCAATAACAACCAGTGCATAAAATTTTCATCCGGCATTAGGGGAAAAATTAGTTAATTATTTCAGACCTTGACGGGCGTCCAGGCTGGTGAATTTTGCACGTAGGAGGCAATAACAACCAGTGCATAAAATTTTCATCCGACATTAGGGGAAAAATGAATTAATTATTTGAGACCTTGACGGGCGTCCAGGTTGGTGAATTTTGCACGTAGGAGGCAATAACACCAGTGCATAAAATTTTCATCCGACATTAGGGGAAAAATGAATTAATTATTTGAGACCTTGACGGGCGTCCAGGTTGGTGAATTTTGCACGTAGGAGGCAATAACAACCAGTGCATAAAATTTTCATCCGACATTAGGGGAAAAATGAATTAATTATTTGAGACCTTGACGGGCGTCCAGGTTGGTGAATTTTGCACGTAGGAGGCAATAACAACCAGTGCATAAAATTTTCATCCGACATTAGGGGAAAAATGAATTAATTATTTGAGACCTTGACGGGCGTCCAGGCTGGTGAATTTTGCACGTAGGAGGCAATAACAACCAGTGCATAAAATTTTCATCCGACATTAGGGGAAAAATTAATTAATTATTTCAGACCTTGACGGGCGTCCAGGTTGGTGAATTTTGCACGTAGGAGGCAATAACAACCAGTGCATAAAATTTTCATCCGACATTAGGGGAAAAATTAGTTAATTATTTCAGACCTTGACGGGCGTCCAGGCTGGTGAATTTTGCACGTAGGAGGCAATAACAACCAGTGCATAAAATTTTCATCCGACATTAGGGGAAAAATGAATTAATTATTTGAGACCTTGACGGGCGTCCAGGTTGGTGAATTTTGCACGTAGGAGGCAATAACAACCAGTGCATAAAATTTTCATCCGGCATTAGGGGAAAAATTAGTTAATTATTTCAGACCTTGACGGGCGTCCAGGCTGGTGAATTTTGCACGTAGGAGGCAATAACAACCAGTGCATAAAATTTTCATCCGACATTAGGGGAAAAATGAATTAATTATTTGAGACCTTGACGGGCGTCCAGGTTGGTGAATTTTGCACGTAGGAGGCAATAACACCAGTGCATAAAATTTTCATCCGACATTAGGGGAAAAATGAATTAATTATTTGAGACCTTGACGGGCGTCCAGGTTGGTGAATTTTGCACGTAGGAGGCAATAACAACCAGTGCATAAAATTTTCATCCGACATTAGGGGAAAAATGAATTAATTATTTGAGACCTTGACGGGCGTCCAGGTTGGTGAATTTTGCACGTAGGAGGCAATAACAACCAGTGCATAAAATTTTCATCCGACATTAGGGGAAAAATTAGTTAATTATTTCAGACCTTGACGGGCGTCCAGGCTGGTGAATTTTGCACGTAGGAGGCAATAACAACCAGTGCATAAAATTTTCATCCGACATTAGGGGAAAAATGAATTAATTATTTGAGACCTTGACGGGCGTCCAGGTTGGTGAATTTTGCACGTAGGAGGCAATAACAACCAGTGCATAAAATTTTCATCCGGCATTAGGGGAAAAATTAGTTAATTATTTCAGACCTTGACGGGCGTCCAGGCTGGTGAATTTTGCACGTAGGAGGCAATAACAACCAGTGCATAAAATTTTCATCCGACATTAGGGGAAAAATTAATTAATTATTTGAGACCTTGACGGGCGTCCAGGTTGGTGAATTTTGCACGTAGGAGGCAATAACAACCAGTGCATAAAATTTTCATCCGGCATTAGGGGAAAAATTAGTTAATTATTTCAGACCTTGACGGGCGTCCAGGCTGGTGAATTTTGCACGTAGGAGGCAATAACAACCAGTGCATAAAATTTTCATCCGACATTAGGGGAAAAATTAATTAATTATTTCAGACCTTGACGGGCGTCCAGGTTGGTGAATTTTGCACGTAGGAGGCAATAACAACCAGTGCATAAAATTTTCATCCGACATTAGGGGAAAAATTAGTTAATTATTTCAGACCTTGACGGGCGTCCAGGCTGGTGAATTTTGCACGTAGGAGGCAATAACAACCAGTGCATAAAATTTTCATCCGACATTAGGGGAAAAATGAATTAATTATTTGAGACCTTGACGGGCGTCCAGGTTGGTGAATTTTGCACGTAGGAGGCAATAACAACCAGTGCATAAAATTTTCATCCGGCATTAGGGGAAAAATTAGTTAATTATTTCAGACCTTGACGGGCGTCCAGGCTGGTGAATTTTGCACGTAGGAGGCAATAACAACCAGTGCATAAAATTTTCATCCGACATTAGGGGAAAAATGAATTAATTATTTGAGACCTTGACGGGCGTCCAGGTTGGTGAATTTTGCACGTAGGAGGCAATAACACCAGTGCATAAAATTTTCATCCGACATTAGGGGAAAAATGAATTAATTATTTGAGACCTTGACGGGCGTCCAGGTTGGTGAATTTTGCACGTAGGAGGCAATAACAACCAGTGCATAAAATTTTCATCCGACATTAGAGGAAAAATGAATTAATTATTTGAGACCTTGACGGGCGTCCAGGTTGGTGAATTTTGCACGTAGGAGGCAATAACAACCAGTGCATAAAATTTTCATCCGGCATTAGGGGAAAAATTAGTTAATTATTTCAGACCTTGACGGGCGTCCAGGCTGGTGAATTTTGCACGTAGGAGGCAATAACAACCAGTGCATAAAATTTTCATCCGACATTAGGGGAAAAATTAATTAATTATTTGAGACCTTGACGGGCGTCCAGGTTGGTGAATTTTGCACGTAGGAGGCAATAACAACCAGTGCATAAAATTTTCATCCGGCATTAGGGGAAAAATTAGTTAATTATTTCAGACCTTGACGGGCGTCCAGGCTGGTGAATTTTGCACGTAGGAGGCAATAACAACCAGTGCATAAAATTTTCATCCGACATTAGGGGAAAAATTAATTAATTATTTCAGACCTTGACGGGCGTCCAGGTTGGTGAATTTTGCACGTAGGAGGCAATAACAACCAGTGCATAAAATTTTTATCTGGCATTAGGGGAAAAATTAAGTAATTATCTTTCCTTGCAGATGGAAATCAGTTTGACCCTGGTAAAGAAAATGAATCCGTCAATCCTCTAGTTGGGGATCCCGGGTTCAAAGAGTCAGTCAGGTGTACCTCGGACTCAGACAAGATCCTCGAGGAGATCGCGCAGATGCAGGCTGAGGAAGAGGGCCTAGTAGTAAAGGATGATGCCCAGTCTACTGAGGCAGCTGAGTCTAAGAAGCTAGATAACGAGGTGGAACTGCTTCTAGGAGAGGATCCAGGGGCTAAGAAAAAAGATCAAGTAGAGCTGCATGAGAGCTTGGTGTCGCGTTGGGCATCTTGGCTGTCTGACGGATTGCTGAAAGAGATTAAAGTCCAAGTAGTGGACAAATATCCTCGAAAGGGGAATAGTTCTCTCGAGGCCCCAGAATTAAATGAAGAAATAGCAGCTACTCTGAACGAAACGGGTGTCAGGAGGGATCAGCTATTTAACCAAGAACAGAACTTAGCTGGTTCAGCCTTATCAGCATTAGGACAAGGCATCACGATGATTTTAAAAGATGAGGAAGAACCCCTAGATCGTCTGGAGTTACTAGAAAAATTAGCGGATGCAGGAAAACTAATTACGCAGCTACATTTCCAGGTCTCTTCAGCTAGAAGAGCGTTTATCTCTCCAATATTGACCAAGTCAATGAAAAATCTGTTACAGACGACCAAGCCTGGGTCTCTGTTGTTTGGAGAGAAGCTAACGGAAAAGATAAAAACTGCAAAGTCAATGGAGAAGATCGGCAAAGAGATTAAAGCCTCTCCTCTTCTATCGACCTCTGGTACTAGCAAGAAACCAAGCAGGCCAGCCCCTAGACGCACTTTAAACTGGCGGGGCCCGTATGCGAGACAGGGGAACTCGTATCAGGGCCTAAAACAGTATCAGACGAAATTCCCCCCATCTCAGCCGGTCAGCAAGAGTACATACAGCAATGTCTCGAAGTCAACCAGCAAGCCGCGGCCACTGAGGGATGCAAAGAAATAAAAATTATTTTCTATGTATTTTAGACTTGAAAGATGCATATTTCTTGGTAAAAATTGGTCCGGGTAGTCGAAAATTTTTAAGATTTAAATTCAGGGGTCAAATATTTGAATTTCAATGCTTGCCCTTTGGACTTTGTACAAGTCCGTATGTATTTACAAAAGTTACCAAAGCCAGTCCTGAACTTTCTTAGAGAAAGGGGATGCTTATCGACAGCGTACATAGATGATACACTTTGCATCGGCAAATCTCGGGCCGTGTGCAAGAAAAATGTAGCAGTCACGAGGAAAACTCTAACTGAGCTTGGGTTCATTATAAATGAAGAGAAAAGTAAAGACGAGCCAGATTACAAATCATGCCCAGGCGTACCGTATGGGATGTTGTATACAAAAATGTTGGAAAGAGAAAAAATGAAGGCGCTAATCCTAAACGATCAAAATTTTGATCGAAGGATGATCATTCATTCATATGTAAAGAAAGATCTGGAGGGGGGCTGAAGAATATTCCAGTAGCAAAGAATCCGATTAGGTCATTAAATTATAGGTTAGAGATTTTCTCGGGTGCATCGCTCACAGGGTGGGGTGCGCACTGCAACGGAGAAAATACTCACGGATTTTGGTCTCAGGAGGAGAAGAAGTTACATATAAACCAGCTGGAGATTATAGCAGCGTTTTTGGCGCTGAAGTGCTTTGCTAGGGAAGTCCAAAATTGCGAAATCTTACTTAGAATTTCGTATATCAATCGTATGGGGGGTGTACAATACGTAGAACTTAATCAAAGGGCTAAAGATATTTGGACTTGGTGTGAGAAAAGAAGAATCTGGATCTTTGCTTCCTACATCCCCTCGCGGGAAAACACAGACGCAGACAGGGAATCTAGAAGAGTCAATGTAGATACCGAATGGGAGTTAGGAGCCCCCTTATTTCAGACCATAGTAGAAAGGTGGGGGTTTCCAGAAATAGACTTGTTCGCATCAAGGAGTAATGCTAAGACCGATGTGTTCTGCTCCTGGAAACGAGACCCAGAAGCTCGTTACATTGACGCTTTTACAGTTAATTGGAGTAAATACCTTTTTTATGCATTCCCTTCCTTCGCGATGGTTGCTAAGGTGCTACAAAAAATCAATTCAGATAAGGCTCAGGGAATAGTGGTGGTCCCTCACTGGCCTCCCAGCCTTGGTTTCCCTTATTTAAATCAATGCTATTAGAAGAACCGTTGTATTTTTCGCCCTCACCTAAGCTTCTGTTATCTCCTTGCAGGTCTCTAATTCACCCGTTAGCGGATCATCTTTCCCTGGTTGCAGGGAGGCTCTCCGGCGATCGTATCAACAGAAATTAGTGCCAGCAGAAGCTGTAGAGATTCTAATCCCTTCACTAACGGATTCTACTCTGAAACAATACAACACAGCCCTTAAAAACTGGTGGAGTTACTGCCAGAGTGAAAAGAGAGACCCCCTACAACCAGATATTTACCTAGTTTTAAAATACTTAACATTTCGATTCAATCAGGAGGCATCAAGCGGCACACTTAATTCAGAGAGATCAGCGATTAATCTGATAAGCACGATAGACTTGGGTAGTGATCCTGAAATTAGTCGTTTTTTTTTTTTAAAGGAGTCTTTAAAAACAGACCACCGACGCCTAAATATGACACCACCTGGAACACAGAGGCAGTTCTAAACTGGGCGGAAGCACTGGGACCGCTGAAAGTTCTGGACCTAAAATCTCTCACCTTTAAGTTGGTATCCTTACTAGCCTTAGCTACAGCCCATAGGGTTCAGACATTGTCCCTAATCAAAATAAGTGACATGACAGTTTCGAAGAGCAAGGTGATCATAAAGATATCGGAGCAAATTAAAACATCTAGAGTCGGAGTTGCACAACCCTCGTTCAGTCTACCATTGTTTAAAGAGCGAAAGGGCACTTGCGTCGCCACGGTGTTGTTGAAATACGTAAAAAGAACCAAAGTTCTAAGAGGGAATGAAGACTACCTGTTTATTACATTTAAGAGGCCCTACCATAGGGCAACTGCGCAATCAATAAGCCGCTGGATAAGGTGCTGTCTCGTGGAAGCCGGAATAGATCCTAAATACACTGCTCACAGCACGAGACACGCAGCCACGTCTGCTGCAGAGGCGAGAGGTTTAGATGTAAACATCATAAAGAGTACAGCTGGATGGTCAGCCAGCTCACAGGTGTTCGCAAAGTTCTACAAACGCCCGATAGAACCAAGAAAAGAATCGGTTGTAGAGGTGTTATTCAATCAACAGGGTGAATAAGTCTAAAATAAGTCTAAGTAAGTCTTAAATTAAGTTTAGCTTGAATAATGTTATCATGGCATTAAGCTCTGTAACAGGTATTAAGGAATAAGGACTAAGTTGGTTTGCTCTAAACATCTACGATGTAATCTCGAAGAACGAGGCTCGTAATATAATTAAAAATCAAACGAACTTACCTTAAGTGATGTTCGATTGTAATTATATAAGAGTCTCGTTCGAGATGATTACAGCCCTCCCAAAAACTTTTATCCTGAAAATTTTTTTTCCCACCCCTAAAGTTGTGAGTTTGGTTACAGCTTAATTCCATAATTTTGGAATGAGCTTTAAACTGTATGACGATTAGCCGCTAGGGTGCGGCGGAGGAGCAGGCGGCGGGAAGCCGAAATTTTAATTTTATTCTCTAAAGCTTGTGGTTGGATCTAGTCAAAGTAGCGGTACTACGATGTAATCATCTCGAACGAGACTCTTATATAATTACAATCGAACATCACTTAAGGTAAGTTCGTTTGATTTTTAATTTTCTAAAATTTCGATATTTCAACCGTCGATTCTGGAAAAACGGTTGCAGCTATCAAAGAATCGAGGCCGGAAGTGAGTTCTAGAGCTTGAAATCTACAAGAAAATGTACTCAGTTAGGTTTCGAAAATGTCAAAATTTGGCCGAAATTTGAAGAAGGGGGAACCATTGGAAAATTTTCACTTTTGAAAAAGTCGTTTAAAAATTCTGAAAAAATTCAGGGACGTAGATCTCGACGTGCTGATTCCAAAAATATAGGCTGTTGATGGTCGCGGAGCGACATTTTCGAAAAAATCGGTACGAAATGCCTAATTTATCGAATTTTCAAAAATTTCGATATTTAAACCGTCGATTCTGGAAAAACGGTTGCAGCTATCAAAGAATCGAGGCCGGAAGTGAGTTCTAGAGCTCGAAATCTACAAGAAAATGTACTCAGTTAGGTTTCGAAAATGTCAAAATTTGGCCGAAATTTGAAGAAGGGGGAACCATTGGAAAATTTTCACTTTTGAAAAAGTCGTTTAAAAATTCTGAAAAAACTCAGGGACGTAGATCTCGACGTGCTGATTCCAAAAATATAGGCTGTTGATGGTCGCGGAGCGACATTTTCGAAAAAATCGGTACGAAATGCCTAATTTATCGAATTTTTAAAAATTTCGATATTTCAACCGTCGATTCTGGAAAAACGGTTGCAGCTATCAAAGAATCGAGGCCGGAAGTGAGTTCTAGAACTCGAAATCTACAAGAAAATGTACTCAGTTAGGCTTTCGAAAATGTCAAAATTTGGCCGAAATTTGAAGAAGTGGGGACCATTGGAAAATTTTCACTTTTGAAAAAGTCGTTTAAAAATTCTGAAAAAATTCAGGGACGTAGATCTAGACGTGCTGATTCCAAAAATATAGGCTGTTGATGGTCGCGGAGCGACATTTTCGAAAAAATCGGTACGAAATGCCTAATTTATCGAATTTTCAAAAATTTCGATATTTAAACCGTCGATTCTGGAAAAACGGTTGCAGCTATCAAAGAATCGAGGCCGGAAGTGAGTTCTAGAGCTCGAAATCTACAAGAAAATGTACTCAGTTAGGTTTCGAAAATGTCAAAATTTGGCCGAAATTTGAAGAAGGGGGAACCATTGGAAAATTTTCACTTTTGAAAAAGTCGTTTAAAAATTCTGAAAAAATTCAGGGACGTAGATCTCGACGTGCTGATTCCAAAAATATAGGCTGTTGATGGTCGCGGAGCGACATTTTCGAAAAAATCGGTACGAAATGCCTAATTTATCGAATTTTTAAAAATTTCGATATTTCAACCGTCGATTGTGGAAAAACGGTTGCAGCTATCAAAGAATCGAGGCCGGAAGTGAGTTCTAGAACTCGAAATCTACAAGAAAATGTACTCAGTTAGGTTTCGAAAATGTCAAAATTTGGCCGAAATTTGAAGAAGGGGGGACCATTGGAAAATTTTCACTTTTGAAAAAGTCGTTTAAAAATTCTGAAAAAATTCAGGGACGTAGATCTCGACGTGCTGATTCCAAAAATATAGGCTGTTGATGGTCGCGGAGCGACATTTTCGAAAAAATCGGTACGAAATGCCTAATTTATCGAATTTTCAAAAATTTCGATATTTCAACCGTTGATTCTGGAAAAACGGTTGCAGCTATCAAAGAATCTAGGCCGGAAGTGAGTTCTAGAGCTCGAAATCTACAAGAAAATATACTCAGTTAGGTTTCGAAAATGTCAAAATTTGGCCGAAATTTGAAGAAGGGGGGACCATTGGAAAATTTTCACTTTTGAAAAAGTTGTTTAAAAATTCTGAAAAAATTCAGGGACGTAGATCTCGACGTGCTGATTCCAAAAATATAGGCTGTTGATGGTCGCGGAGCGAGATTTTCGAAAAAATCGGTACGAAATGCCTAATTTATCGAATTTTCAAAAATTTCGATATTTCAACCGTCGATTCTGGAAAAACGGTTGCAGCTATCAAAGAATCGAGGCCGGAAGTGAGTTCTAGAGCTCGAAATCTACAAGAAAATGTGCTCAGTTAGGTTTCGAAAATGTCAAAATTTGGCCGAAATTTGAAGAGGGGGGGACCATTGGAAAATTTTCACTTTTGAAAAAGCCGTTTAAAAATTCTGAAAAAATTCAGGGACGTAGATCTCGACGTGCTGATTCCAAAAATATAGGCTGTTGATGGTCGCGGAGCGACATTTTCGAAAAAATCGGTACGAAATGCCTAATTTATCGAATTTTTAAAAATTTCGATATTTCAACCGTCGATTCTGGAAAAACGGTTGCAGCTATCAAAGAATCGAGGCCGGAAGTGAGTTCTAGAACTCGAAATCTACAAGAAAATGTACTCAGTTAGGCTTTCGAAAATGTCAAAATTTGGCCGAAATTTGAAGAAGTGGGGACCATTGGAAAATTTTCACTTTTGAAAAAGTCGTTTAAAAATTCTGAAAAAATTCAGGGACGTAGATCTAGACGTGCTGATTCCAAAAATATAGGCTGTTGATGGTCGCGGAGCGACATTTTCGAAAAAATCGGTACGAAATGCCTAATTTATCGAATTTTCAAAAATTTCGATATTTAAACCGTCGATTCTGGAAAAACGGTTGCAGCTATCAAAGAATCGAGGCCGGAAGTGAGTTCTAGAGCTCGAAATCTACAAGAAAATGTACTCAGTTAGGTTTCGAAAATGTCAAAATTTGGCCGAAATTTGAAGAAGGGGGAACCATTGGAAAATTTTCACTTTTGAAAAAGTCGTTTAAAAATTCTGAAAAAATTCAGGGACGTAGATCCCGACGTGCTGATTCCAAAAATATAGGCTGTTGATGGTCGCGGAGCGACATTTTCGAAAAAATCGGTACGAAATGCCTAATTTATCGAATTTTTAAAAATTTCGATATTTCAACCGTCGATTCTGGAAAAACGGTTGCAGCTATCAAAGAATCGAGGCCGGAAGTGAGTTCTAGAACTCGGAATCTACAAGAAAATGTACTCAGTTAGGTTTCGAAAATGTCAAAATTTGGCCGAAATTTGAAGAAGGGGGGACCATTGGAAAATTTTCACTTTTGAAAAAGTCGTTTAAAAATTCTGAAAAAATTCAGGGACGTAGATCTCGACGTGCTGATTCCGCTGATTCCAAAAATATAGGCTGTTGATGGTCGCGGAGCGACATTTTCGAAAAAATCGGTACGAAATGCCTAATTTATCGAATTTTCAAAAATTTCGATATTTCAACCGTTGATTCTGGAAAAACGGTTGCAGCTATCAAAGAATCTAGGCCGGAAGTGAGTTCTAGAGCTCGAAATCTACAAGAAAATATACTCAGTTAGGTTTCGAAAATGTCAAAATTTGGCCGAAATTTGAAGAAGGGGGGGACCATTGGAAAATTTTCACTTTTGAAAAAGTTGTTTAAAAATTCTGAAAAAATTCAGGGACGTAGATCTCGACGTGCTGATTCCAAAAATATAGGCTGTTGATGGTCGCGGAGCGACATTTTCGAAAAAATCGGTACGAAATGCCTAATTTATCGAATTTTCAAAAATTTCGATATTTCAACCGTCGATTCTGGAAAAACGGTTGCAGCTATCAAAGAATCGAGGCCGGAAGTGAGTTCTAGAGCTCGAAATCTACAAGAAAATGTGCTCAGTTAGGTTTCGAAAATGTCAAAATTTGGCCGAAATTTGAAGAGGGGGGGACCATTGGAAAATTTTCACTTTTGAAAAAGCCGTTTAAAAATTCTGAAAAAATTCAGGGACGTAGATCTCGACGTGCTGATTCCAAAAATATAGGCTGTTGATGGTCGCGGAGCGACATTTTCGAAAAAATCGGTACGAAATGCCTAATTTATCGAATTTTCAAAAATTTCGTTATTTCAACCGTTGATTCTGGAAAAACGGTTGCAGCTATCAAAGAATCGAGGCCGGAAGTGAGTTCTAGAGCTCGAAATCTACAAGAAAATATACTCAGTTAGGTTTCGAAAATGTCAAAATTTGGCCGAAAGTTGAAGAAGGGGGGACCATTGGAAAATTTTCACTTTTGAAAAAGTTGTTTAAAAATTCTGAAAAAATTCAGGGACGTAGATCTCGACGTGCTGATTCCAAAAATATAGGCTGTTGATGGTCGCGGAGCGACATTTTCGAAAAAATCGGTACGAAATGCCTAATTTATCGAATTTTCTAAAATTTCGATATTTCAACCGTCGATTCTGGAAAAACGGTTGCAGCTATCAAAGAATCGAGGCCGGAAGTGAGTTCTAGAGCTCGAAATCTACAAGAAAATATACTCAGTTAGGTTTCGAAAATGTCAAAATTTGGCCGAAATTTGAAGAAGGGGGGACCATTGGAAAATTTTCACTTTTGAAAAAGCCGTTTAAAAATTCTGAAAAAATTCAGGGACGTAGATCTCGACGTGCTGATTCCAAAAATATAGGCTGTTGATGGTCGCGGAGCGACATTTTCGAAAAAATCGGTACGAAATGCCTAA